ACAAGTGCAACTCAAAGTCATCTTAAAGTAGAAATTGCAAATTTGTATTACCTTAAGTACTAGCTCTGCAGAGGACTTAGGTCAGAGCACACATTATGTTTTAACTCAGAATCATTTGTAAAGTCCCTATTGAAGGTAAGTGGAGGAAGACCCACTCTCTTCTGTAGCAACCCATTAATTGAAACAAAACTCTTAAACATAGATTACTAAATCCACCATCATTCAAAGAATAATTCAAGTACTCCCTACCTTAAGGAAAAAGCTTCCCCTACTTCTTAAGCAGAATTAATTCTCTTCCTTGGATCACTGTCCCTTGAGCTCTCCTTTCTAATGGTACTTATCATTCTGTAATGTAATTTCCTGTTTTTCTGCCTGTCTCTCTACCGGATGATGAGGTTCTTTTGAGGACAGGAACCGTGACTTATACCTCTTTGTATTCTAAGCACCTACCATGCTGACTAAAATAAGGAAGATATTCAATGTGTGTCTTGAATGAAAACCTGTGGGGTGAACTGAGAGAATTCTAGACTCCAATCCTAAGGAATGAAACTAAAGGATAGCAACTTTCAAATTAGAACAATATACAATAAACCTCTAAGTCCTAAGGATGAATTTGAGAAAAGAAGACAGAAAACTGATAGAAATCAAGAAATGAAGTACGTTTTCCTCTAACTGACTGTAGCTTAAAATCAAGGTCAAAACAACACAGAAATTAGAAAAGGCAAGGAAATGAGCTCTACCCTAGTGCCTCCAGAAAGAACACAGAAAAATCAAGGTCAAAACAACACAGAAAAGAAAGTTTACCTGCAATGACTTTATACATTTTGAACTACACTCAGCACACAAATGAATGTGGATGTACCAGAAAAACCAAACAAACAAAAAACTACAGTTCTAGGAAGAGAAGTAGGCTATTATTCAATTTCTAAGCAGACATAACTTTTAGTCAATTGATGATATACATTAGAAAAATGTTTCCAGACACATTTTTTTCATAATACTTTATTAACAATTTTAACACTCACTAGGAAGAAAAGAAAATTTCTGAACTACTTTCATCCTCCCTAAAAATTTGAGTAGATTTTGAAAATTCATTAATTCCGAGTTAAATTTGGGAGAAAAGGAAAACTAAACCCGACCTAGCTCTCTGTAAGAAGACATGGGAGACAGAGGCCCAGTAGCAAAAAGATGAAGTAGCAGAATGAGTTTTCAAATTTGTTTTTCCTCTCACTAAAATCCTGTCACCAAAACCCTTCTTCTCCTTCCCTACCTGTCAAGAATATGTTTATTTTATTCTATATGTACTAGTCATTAGAAAGAGAAGAAAAAAGTCACATAACAGATAAATAAACCTAAAGCTCAACCTGGGCAAAGATAGACACAATAATTTGACAATACTAGTCTTTCTCAGTAAAGCTTGTTTTAATCTTTGTTAAAGATAATTTTGCCGGGCTCCACGGCTCAGCCTGTAATCCCGCGCCTTTGGGAGGCTGAGGTGAGTGAATTGCCTGAGCCGACGGGTTCGAGACCCGCCTGGGCAGCGAGACCTCATCTCTACAATAAATCAAATACTCAGCTGGGTGTGGTAGCGCATGCCTGTAATTCTGGCTACTTGGAAGGCTGAGGCGGAAGGATCGCCGCAGCCCAGCAGGTCGAGGCTGCGGTGGCCAGGAGCGGCCACTGCATTCCAGTCTGGGTTACAGAGTGAGACTCCAACTCAAAAAAAAAAAAGATAATTTTATTTCTGATTTCCAATTAATGGACCAAAGCAGTTACAATAAGCTTACAGTAGAGAATGAGTAGGTCCATTTTTCTCCTCCTACCGCTCATGCCAGGTCATGGGCCAATAAGGAAGCTCGAGTGAGCAGGGGAACCACAGGTAAAACGGGCTGGAGTTTCAGGAGCGGCAAGGAGGTGGGACCATGTATGCAGAAAAGGGAGGGGAAAACAGGTAAAGATTGACACCAGAAATTATAGTATTTTAGGGGAAGGCAAAGAAAGAGGAGTCCAATAAAGCAATTGACAAGGATAAACTGAAAAGGTGAGAGGAGACTTACAACAACAGTATCAAGGAAACTATAGAGAAGAATATTTCAAGGAGCCAGTCAACACTACCACCAAATGCTGTAAAGAAAAAAAATAGATATGGTAAGTGAGTTAATTGAAATAGGTCTAAATATTTCTATTGTCCATAGTACATCAGTAAGAATTCATTTCCAGAAATATTAAAATCTGCCTCCATAAAGCATAGAGTCCCCTTTCAGACTCTGTCCTTATCCGAAACACATACATTCAAACATATACACACCTATTGATGCCACACAGAAAATGAATTGGGATCAGTTTTGATAAATGTTCAAATAGGTAAGAGGAATACAGAAAATGAACTCCCCTTGTTTTCATTTTCATAAAGGTCAGTGGATCAGTTGACTGCACTGATCTAGCAGGAAAACAACTGAAGCAGTCAACAATGAAGCTGAGGATTAGGGCATGTTTAGCTGGCTACAACTCTGCCATCTTTAGAACTAGACAAAAGCTTTTATCAGCTAACCAAAGATGAGTTGTCTTTATTAGGTAAATCTCATCAAACTCAAATTTCTCAGAAGATAACTTTCACTAAGTTCAAAGATCTAAAGCCATGAATTGAAAGTAGTATGCCAAAGGAAAAAAGAAAATAATGAGGAAGAGAAACCTAACCATTATTTTTAAAGCATTTAATATTCAATTCAAAATGAAGTAGAAAAGGCAGATATTATAATTCTTATCTCTACATATGGAAATAAGCTCAGAAGTTTTATTACCAGAACCACATTACACTGCCTTTTAGGGAGAGGGACAGAGCTGATGACAGCATCAGACAACAACACCAATACAACCCAGACTCTACAGGAAGAACTCCAAATCAGCAGGTTTTCTATGCATATAAACACATCTGAGTTGTTGAAAAAATTGTGTAAATGAGCATGCATTAAACTAAACCACTTAGGAAAAAGACTTAGTGATTCCCTGGTGTTGGCTCACTCGGGACCACCAGAACCTACTGTGTGCATTCTTTCCAACTCTGTGTTGAGTGTCATACTGCTGATAGTTTGAAATCAGTCATACTGGGAGCATTTACATCACAAAAATCAATAAACATGACAAATGACAGCTACCTTTAAGTTTGAGAGAACTATTTGTTAAATATCTGCCAGAACATTGCTGGGTATATCCCATTGTTCAAACTTGATCAAAGTAATGTGGTGATAAATATAAAACAAACATAAGACTTGAATAGTTTGCAATATAATGTGCTGCCAAAACAAAGATCTGAGTAACTCAGAATGCATGTGATATATTTTTCTTTTCAAAAATGTATGTTCATCAGACATTTATATAATTCCAGAAAAAGGGTTTTGTATTTATTCTCAACCCTTCTGTTTGCTGTGACAAGCTATTTATGGGTGTCATACCAATTTATATTTTTATTTAAACAGAAAGGCTTAGGGATTATCAATAGATACATTTTATGATGTGTTAGAAAACAACCAAATGGGCCATAGCAGATTGGAATTGTGAATCTGCAGCTCTGTACTGGCAGCATTTGAGCAAGTCACATAGAAAAGATTTTCACAGTGTTTTCATCAATTAAATGAATTACTGAAATTTTCAAATCATGTTCCATAGACTTTTAAAGAACGGTGAATTTGTTTTCCAAAGGATTCTTTAAGAAGATTGTCTTAAATATTATTCTTTAAATAAATTAATTTTAAATATTTTTTAAAATTCATACAAAAGACTAACACACTCAAATGTGTCAAACACCAAATAGAGACTACCAACTAATTAACTCGTACTATCAATTTAACTGATTTTTTGGCAGACCTTGGAGTGAATCTCTCTCCAACATAACTATGTATATAGTCAAACTTAGATGAATTTTTTTGTTGATGAAAAGATGCCAAACTCTAAAAAAATGTTTAGGATAGTTTATTCTAAGTCAATTTGAGGACTAGGTCTGAGAACATCCATCCTTAAAAGGTCCTAAGAACATATGCTTACAGTGGTTGAATCGTAGTTGGCTATACAGAATTTTGGGAGGAAGAAGTAACAAAAACCATAAATCAATACACGTGAGATTTTCAGTGGTTTGGCCCTGGAAGGAGGGACATTGCTAAGTGAGGTCTTGAAGGTTATAGGTGGATTTAAGGATTTCTTGACTGGCAATTTATAATTCCTATCTAAGTAATTTTTTAAATCAGTAGAGGACATTGTGTCCAGAGTCTGGGAGTCCCCAAAAGATGGTTTTACAGAGTCATAAAATACTTTGATTTCTTTTTTTATTTGCCAGAGTCAGTTTGGAAAGCAAACTTCAGTATACATGGTAATCGAGTAATAACAGAACACTGTCTGGTGAGTCCTTACACTGAGTGACTCTCTAAGCCTCTTAGGAATTTGGGTAACAGAAAATAAGAGGTCACAATATAGTCCTCACTTTAATTAGGATGGTTATCATGTAACCAATCCTGACTTGTACCCCACATCTTTGAGATTTAAAAAGAAGGAAAACAATTAGGATAGTTATCACTCTGCACTGCTTTTGTTTTGGTTAAGTTAAATCTCATGAGCTTTTGAACCTCCACCACGACCACCAAACGAACATGACTGGACTAGCCTACTGGAGGAGGAAACACAGGAAGCACAGCAGTTTCCCCCATGTCCTAGCCAAGGCCAATCTGGATCAGCCAATAGCCTGCCAACCCCCACATATGTAAGTACATCCAGTCAAAATCAGCAAATTTTCAGCTGACCATAAATAAATGTGCAAACCTGCATAGACCAGCCTATTCCAATTCAAACAAGCTGAACACAACACAAACATGAGTATCTAATGTTATGCAAACTGCTGTTTTGAAACCTCAAGCTAGTTTATTTCTGCTGAGATAAAAATTATACAAATAACTGTGCTATGTTAACAACTGTGTTATGTCATTAATATGTCATATTAGTTCCTACCGACCAGCATGGCAGAGGAGCCAGAGTCGGTGTTGCACCTGCCTCCCTTAGCTGCTGCTGGCAGCAAAGGACTTGCAGAGATCTCCCCAGAAACAGCCACTCTGGATCTCCCTTCTTCCACTGCAGTTTCCCTGGGGACAGAGGAACCTGCTGGCGACTCCAAGAAAAAAATTTACATCCTGCTAAAGGGTGTGGGATACACTCCCATCATGAAAACAAAGAAGTGGGCAGTAGAGCGAACTAAAACCATACAAGGACTCATTGACTTCATCAAAAAGTTTCTTAAACTTGTGGCCTCAGAACAGTTGGCAAGATGTGCTCTTCATTAAGGATCTCTTTAGATAAAATGTTTTAGGAGAATTTGAAGGTGTTTAGGTAAGTTTTCAAATCTGACAATTTGAAATAGCTGGCAGAAGGGAACCCAGCAAAATGCAGATTAATCAACATACCATTAAAAATTAGTTTTCACTTTTTATTTTTGTTTTTTCTTTCTTGTAGTTTATGTGAATCAGTCCTTTGCTCCATCTCCATACCAGGAAGTTGGAACCCTCTATGAGTGTTTTTTCAGTAATGGTAAACTTGTTCTACATTACTGCAAATCTCAGGCTTGGGGATAAAACACAGAGAACAACTTGCTACTTAAAATGAGTTTTCACCGAGAAGACAGCTCTGAAAAGTTCTGATACTTGTGGTAAGAGACTTAACAGTTATGATCTATTGAGATGTGTCTACTGTGGACTACATTTATGCATAAGAAAATATCCATAGTGTGGAATGGATTTGTATTAATACACAAATCATCATAAAAGATGGACATTAAGCCAGGTTCGGTGGCTCAGCCTGTAATCCCGCGCTTTGGGAGGCCAAGGTGAGTGGATTGCCTGAGCCCGTGGGCAACTTGACGAGACCTCATCTCTACAATAAATCAAAAAATTAGTCGGGTGTGTTAGCGCGTGCCTGTAGTTCCAGCTACTTGGAAGGCTGAGCGGAAGGATCGCGGGAGCCCAGGAGGTCGAGGCTGTGGTGGCCTGGAGCATGCCACTGCACTTCAGTCTGGGGCGGAGTGAGACTCCAACTCAAAAAAAAAAAAAAAGAAGATCGACATCAGAATATACTCATTGCTTCTACCCATTATTACTACTATTACTGCAGATATACCTCCAAGCTTGAAGTGGAAACTAAGACCATATAAATTGATTCATTACCTATTCTCAAAATGATGAGAAATTTTTTCACTGTAAAAGCTAATTTGGTAAAGAGATTTGTTTTTTTTAAAAGTAAGATAATATCCATTGCTTTGCTAAGCTATGGTCTGGCCATGAGTTCTTTGAGCTATGGCCAGGACATGTTTTCCTAAGCTTTGTCTCCCTCCCCTACTGTGGAGAGGTGAATCCCCTCTCTCTTCTCTCTCTCTATTTTACTTTTTAAATAAACTATATTTTCCAATTTAAAAAAATGTCATATTATAAATGACATTATGCTGACTATAAGACTTTGAGTTTCTTTCATCTGACTTTAATATTTATAAGGAATAAGAATAGTAGGTATATGTTGATCACAATTCAATATAAATACAAGTTTTTCCTCTCATTCATCTTTCAAGTTTCTGGATCAGTTTAATTAACAATTGTATTGGTATAGTTGTTTCCACTTGAAATTCTGTATGTATGTAAGTTATTATTTTACTAATATTAGACAACCCAAATAATTACTGGGAGTAAGTTGCATGCCAAAACAGATAACTGTCAGTTTCATTTTTTTATATTTATAAATTAGACACAAATACAGTTTTTTTGTTAATAAAATAAAGAATAAAATAAACATTGTTTTTCTTTAAGAAAGCATTTTTGACACATAGAAAAGAACAGAGAATCAAATAACAAACGCCCACATAACCACTCTCCAGAATAATAAATTTCAACATTTTGCATCTTATTTTTCAGAATTGTTTACAAAACTTGAAACATCACAGATGCCATGGAGCATCTTTCCACTCTCTTTGAAAACTATTTAACTATTTTATTTCTTTGCTCACCAAGAACAAAGAAGTTTACTGAATCTGGTGATACAGCAAGAAATTTATTTCTTATTCTTTAAGTAATAAATATCTTTTTCCATATTTTCTTTTTTTTGAGTTGGAGTCTCACTCTGTCGCCCAGACTGGAGTGCAGTGGCTGCTCCCGGCCACCGCAGCCTCGCCTGCTGGGCTCTGGCGATTCGTCCACCTCAGCCTTCCGAGTAGCCGGAATTACAGGCATGTGCCACCACACCTGGCTGATTTTTTGATTTACTGTATAGATGAGGTTTCGCTGCCCAGGTGGGTCTCGAACCCGCGGGCTCAGGCAATTCACTGACCTCAGCTTCCCAAAGGTGAAGGATTACAGGCTGAGCCAACGAGCCTGGCTTTTTCCCATATTTTCTTCTAAACTTTCAAGCCTTGCTAATTACATGTGGTTGGTTAATCAATTTAAATGTGTTTTATGTATGTTTTAAAATACATGATCTAAATTTATCTTTTTCTGTATGAATAGTTATTAGTCTGCAACAATTATTTGCATACTGTCTTTTCAAAATATCTTACACATCACTACTGTTATATAGAAATCTGTTTCTGGCTACTCTATTTCTTTGTCCAATATTACTCTGTTTTACTATAATCACCATGGCCTTGTAATATGTCTTTTTACCAGGTAGAAAAAGTGACCCTAACATAGTCTACTTCTTCAAAGTTGTTTTGGCAAGTTTTGACTTTTTATGCTTCAAAATAAATTTTAGAAGAGAATCATTGTGTATCAAGAATATTATAACTGAAATTTGACTATAAAAATTCATCAAATTTATAGATTAAGATAACTTACATATTTTATTTAGCATTTTTCTGTCTGTTATGTTTCTTACTTTTCTTTTTCCTTCTCTTTTCATTTTTTTTATTTTTTTGAGTTGGAGTCTCACTCTGTCGCCCAGACTGGAGTGCAGTGGCCGCTCCCGGCCACCGCAGCCTCGACCTGCTGGGCTCCGGTGATCCTTCCGCCTCAGCCTTCCAAGTAGCTGGAATTACAGGCATGCGCTACCACATCAGCTGATTTTTTGATTTATTGTAGAAATGAGGTCTCGCTGCCCAGGCGGGTCTCGAACCCGCGGGCTCAGGCAATCCACTCACCTCAGACTCCCAAAGGCGCGGGATTACAGGCTGAGCCACCGAGCCCGGCTCTCTTTTTTTATTTTAATCCTCTTATCTCATTTCTTTTTCTTGTCATATTCCACTGGATCGGGTAACTCCTAACATTAAAAAAAGGACATAGATACTTTTAAGTCAATAGCTATATTTTTTCATTATAAGCTAAAACAGTTACAATGTGTGTGATTTCCAATGTCTTAAAAGCAGTTAAGATAAAATAAAGCTATTTCACAGCCAAAAATAATGTATAATGATAGAAGTTAGTAAAGTCAAACAGTGGTTCCTTGAAGATGGGTTAATGAGGTGAGGTGAGGTGGCATAAGGAAGTCTCTTACATGCAAGTTTTGATCTGAGTTTTGATTACATGAGGGTGTTAACTTAGTTAAAGCTCATTGAGTTGTACACATAAGATTTTTCCACATTATTTATGTATATTCAATATAAAATTTACTATAATAGTCAACATTGTATAAATAAATAAATATATTATGTAACTTTTTTAAAAGAGCTAGATGATACCCACTATCATACATTTTTAAAATAATTTTTAAATATCTTTTTTAATAGTCAGATTTAAATCATTTCCATTCTCATAAATTGAAATTTCCATTTGTCTTATCTACATTTTATTCTTTGTAATACATTTTAAAATTTCGAAGTTTTCATGTATTACTTTGTCATTCTTCTGTGCGAAACAAAAAATGTAAATATATAAAAATAGAAATTAATAAATTAAAATAAGTAAGCTAAATACAAGTTATTTTTATTTCCTATGACCAAATTACTTTAACTATTGAAGTTTTATAATAAGTCGAAATTGACTTAAAACTTATTTGGGTAGACATAAGCCAAAGAAAACATATTCATAAATAAGTAAATGAAAATACAATAAATTTTATAAAACAACATTATGCAAGTCTTTGAAATTCATATGCCAAAAAAACCCATAGTGACCTATGACCAGACATCAATTTGATAAACTATTGAACTTGACTTCATACTTGCTTAAAATTGAAAAACATCTGATTTGCCAAAGTATTTGTTACCCAGTCATTCACTTTTTTAACATCTGGAAAGTCATAAAGGTTCTTATCAAGCTTTTTGGAAGACCATGAGTTGTAAATATTTCTCATACTGCAGCATTTTGTTTAATGTAATCATAATTAAACAGGTTAGAAAAATAGAAACATTGTTATTTCTAATAACGCTTGTCAATAAGATATTTTTGATAAATTTTATTATACTACTTACTTTTTCATTTGTTTTAAATATATTTCTTCAATACCATGACATATTTATTTAGCTCATTCAAAATATGAAAAATGTCCACCATGTAACCTTACTGCGAAGGCTAATCTGGGACTGGGGTGAAACGAGTGTGGTGCTTGGGGTGCAATATATAAAGGAACTTCACACTCAGGGTGATGTCTGTTTAAATTCTGTGCCATGGGTGTTTCATCCATCTCCCAAGTCCCAGCCCTGCCTCAGCTAAACTTTCCATGAGAAAATTACTGTCACTTTTTTTTTTTAAGATGTGAGGTTCAATTCAGGATTAGGTATATAAATGGTCATCATACAGGCAAAGTTTGGCCCTCCCTTTAGTCTCCACTTAGCCTGGTTTGAGATCAGGTACCCTTATAGATGTTACGTGTGCTCTCCTCCCTTCCTTGGAAGTTTCCTGCTACTGCCAATCCCTTTCTTATAGTATTATGATAAATGTTCTGCTTATGAGTAAGAATATGTGGTACTCAGTTATTTGTTTCTGTGATAGATCACCACTAAGTATGATAGACTCTAAATCCACTCAAGTGACTGCAAAGTCCTTAATTTTTTCCTTTTATATGGCTGCATAATATTCCATTGTGTATATGTACCACATTTTTTATCCAGTCCACTTTTGATGGGCTGCCTGGTTGGTTCCATGTTTTTTGCTATTGTGAATAATGTTGCAATAAACATACAGGTCCAGGTATCTTTTTTATAGAATGATTTGAGTTCCTCTGGGTACATTCCCGGAATGGGGATTGCTGAGTTTTATGGAAGGTTGATTTTTAGATTTTTTAGGCATTGCAACACTGATTTCCACAGAGGTTGTACTAGTTTACACTACACTCCCACCAACAGTGTAGAAGCTTCCCTCTACTCCACAGCTGTGCCAGCATCTATCGTTGTTTGATTTATTAAAGATAGACATCCTTACTGGAGTTAGACAATATTTCATTGTGGTTTTGATTTGCATTTCTCTGATGATTAGTGATGCTAACCATTTTCCTTTTTTGTGTATTTTTTTTTTGGATCTATGTATAAGTTGAAATATATTATTTATTTATATTTATAGTGCATTTGGCAAAATAATTGGGAAATTATGTTATAATAAAATAAAAAGGCAGTGGTAAGATGTAACATCTCGGAATACAATAATTATTCAAAGTTGGTTGT